CATGTCAAAACTGGCCAAATTACATACTTCAAATAGGTACATTTTATTGTACTTAAATTTTACCTCAATAAAACTATGGGGGGAGGGTTAAAAAAAAAACCTAACACAGGAAGCAACAAAAGTAAATGAGACCTCAAGCAGTCTACTCAAACCAAATAAATCAAAATCAAAGTTATCCTTGGCTCTAAATCCAAAGGTTCTCTCACATGTTCCAAGTTCAATAAGCCAAGCCATAACATGGCCTGGAGACCTAAGGCCACTCCCAACCCACTCTTGGTTAAGAGCAACCCCTTTCCTGCAGGAAGATTAAGCAGCTGATAACCTTTTATAAAAAGCCAACACCAGAGATGAAATAACTTTTCTAGAACACATATTTGAACAGAGAATGTACGTCAGCATAGCTTCAAGTGAGGCAGTAAGTGACATGACTCCAATAATATAGCAAGTACCTAGAAAATAAAAGGATCTGGGTTCAATCTCCAGAAGCAAGGGAAGGGGGACTTTCATAAGAAAATACTTCCAACAATGGGTCTCAGTATGTGCCAGACCCTGGATATGATCTCTAGCATCACCAAAAAAAACTGCGTTTGCTCTTGGCTACTTAACTTCTGTTCACCAAAGTTCATGTTCACCAACTGGCTGGCAGGCATAGACAAGTTTACTTAATTCAATTTCACAGATTGAATAGAAAAAAATTTTTTTGTGCCAAGAATTGAACTCAGGCACTTAACCACTGACCCACCCACCCCCAAGTCCAAGAAAAATGAGTCTCTAAAGGCCTGCAAGGTCATATGCTAAGCGGTTGGGAGTCAGTGTTATATAACTCGATACCCTTACCCACACCAGACTTCCCACCCATTGCAATCATGAATCTTCAAGCCTAAAACCTCAAAATACCATAGGCAAAATGTATAAGTGATCTAACTAGACCAGCCTTCCTATAGCAGATTATCTACTGAAGATCCAATTCCCCAAAAACTAGGTAGCAGTCCACTTTCTCATCTACTTTAAA